ACAAGGATCTATATATAACCCCCTCTCTGGGAGATGGACAACAGAAAAGTGGGTGAAGAGGGACTTCGGACAGTGTAAGACAATGCAAATAATGATAATTTATAAATTATCAGGAGTTTATGGGGGGGGTGGGAAGGGAAAATTACGAGCTGATATCAAGGGCTCAAGTAGAAAGAAAATGTGTTGAGAATGATGATGGCAACAAATGTGTAAATGTGCTTGACACAAGGGATGGATGTATGGATTGTGATAAGAGTTGTATGAGCCCCCAGTAAAATGATTTAAATTAAAGAAAAAAAAAGAAAGAACAAAGATTTAAGAAGGAATTTAACTTAAAACCAGGGGTTTTATATTAATACTTTCATGAGAAATGTTCACGGAAAAACCTATCTCTCAATCCCATATTCCACAAGCTTTTAGAAATTCTGTTGGATTGGGTCCACAGAGTTAATTAAAGCCTGTGACTGACAGTTGCCCATCTGACTCCTGGTGACCCCATGTGTGCAGAATAGAACCTCCCTGGAGTTTTCAAACCTTGTGATCTTTGGGGAGCGCATCACCTGGCCTGTCTTTGAGGTGCTTCTGTGTGAGTACAAACTACCAACCTTTCAACTAGTAGTGGGGTGCCACCCAGGGAGACACAAATAAAGCTGATACAATTGGTATTAGTAATTCTCACCCTTCCAAAATAAAGATAGTAAATTTTAGTTTATGCTATTTGGTACATGAATTTTTAAAAAGAAAATAATTGATTTGTTAAAATTTAAAAAACCATTATGAGTAGTCCTTGAGTTAAGAGAACTGTTTTTTTAAAAATGTTCAGCATGGTGTAAATGTTACGCTAATTGGTGATGGCGGTAGAAGACTGACAATTCAGTCAACACTCAGTAGGTAATGTGTGATAGCTGTGGGGTGTTAGGTGATGCCACATAAACACGTCAAATGTACAACACTCCCAATTTCACAAATAAGGAAACGGACACTCAAAAAGAATATGTGTCTCCAGTTTATAGGGCTAATAGGTGGAACAGGTAGGATAAGAGACAAATTTTTCCTTTTTCATACAAAAGCTACCTGGGCAGGTGAATATCACATGAGAAGTTGCCCATGTTTTGATCAAGTGAACAATATCCTTTTGACCCTAAAGTTAACAGTGGCTCATATTCAGGAAGTGAGAGAATCAATTGATTATTAAAAATGGCATTGGTATAGAGAGGACCATAGGGCAGGACCCACCACCAGACATGACATCCCTCACTGACGCATAGCACTGTGGGGTCAACACTGGAGACGCAGTACAGGAATTGTGCCCAAACTGACCCCACCACACCAGGACAAACACTAAGGTCGTGCAACAGAGCAGCAAGGGGAGCAAAGCAATGAAGTCCCGGGGGAATACCTAAAATAGACTGTGGGGCCAGGGCGTGGCACCCCGTCAGACTCAACAGGAAAATACTCCTAAAGGTCCACAGACCTTGAACTATTTATAGGCTTTTTTGTCACTAGTTTTTCTGTTGTTGTTTTTATGTTTT